GCTGCGCAAGGAGTGGGCAGTCTTCCTTAGGTCATTGCTACTTTTGGCAGGCACTATGTTGTAATGTAAGTGAATGCAAAAACAATTGTCCTACAGAATCCGATCACATAGCTGGACATAATCCTCTCACATGGGATAGGATCCACACATTTAATAGGACCCATCTCATGTGATAGAGTTGTACCCGATTCTGTAATCAGATTCCACACACTATAATTTTTCATTCAAGAAAACAGTGAATTGAGATTCTTATTATGTAGTATCCCGTGACTGCAACAGCAAATGTTTCAAAGGAATTTTTTTGATAAATTAACATCAACGTTGTTGTATTTAGGGTCGTTAGTCTGTTATTTTTAAGAGATGAATTTGAATAGAGAATTTGAACCCTATGTTTTGAAGATTAGTAAACAAATCTCAGTTGCAAAAACTTGGAATCTTTTTGGCAAAAACAACATTTCCAACTTTTATTTTTATGTTTTTTGAGAAGTTAGAATCATGTGTTCATCCCTGTCTTTCATAACCTGCCATGTGATTAGAGAACCTCAGACATAATCTGCCACGGTGCCATGTGATTGAAAGAGAGAGAGAGAGAGAGAGATCTGCAACAGGATCCATCATGGTTGGGCTGCACATTGAAAACCAGGAAGTGTGCTTAGCTCAATTGGATGGGTATATTATTATTTTGATGCCTCTTTCACATCCCTTCAAAGCCTTTGACTTCTTTTTGTCCTTTAAAGTCATTCATTTGATCTGATCATTTTTTTAAACTGATTTACATCAGAAGCTGGGTGCTCACAGATCCACCTCCTTGGACTTTTAAAACCTTAATATGCTCTTCTTTTTCTTTTTTTTTTTAATTTTGAGTTCCTCTAGAACTGATCACCTTTCAGTGAATGACAATACAAAATAATAATAGCATAATAATATATGGAAAGAGTATCCCAAGGCAAAGAAGATGAGATTTGAAAACTGGCATTGAGTGAGGTAAATGCAGAGGAATTAGGTTCATCCAAGATGGCTGCACATGCCACTTTTTGCTACAGTTAAGCTAATACTCCTTTGGTATAGTTAATTTTAAGCTTAAACCTGATAAATAATCATATAGTAGAAGCTAAAAATAGCTTTCTCTTAGCTTTTTAATTTTTTAATTTTTTTTTAGCCTACTTAAGTTAGGTGTAAGTAAAAACTGAACTAAATACTTTAGCACAGATTCTCAAAAATGAAAAACATGTGCATTCATTCTTGAATTTCAAGACAATAACTTTTCTTTTTTTAAAAAAAATTTGTTTAAACTATTTTTTCCTCATAAACTAATAAGCAGAAGTTATGAACGGTCTAACACAGAATCTTGAAATATAAAATAAATAAAAAAAATCGTAAACTGCCAATTTAAGGTACAGCAAACATTGTTGCACAGCTGCAGCAAGCCAACAACCAACCATTGCAATGTAACAATACATAATTTATACACTAATTAAAGTGAAAGCAGAAGATACAGAGTATAGCTTTTGCAGGGGGTTCAAAATTGTGGTTTTGAGGGGCTTGTTCGCAGTGCTCCATTGATTAATTTATTGTCTTAGATAGCAACCATAGAAATTTCAATGGTAGTGACCACTATAAAGTGATTGAGCATGATATGTATGAATATATCTATATATATAATAACAATGGCATTTTTCATTGTTTTCTCTTTGCTGCAATCAAGGATGAACCTAGAGGGGCGATTGCACACCCTACTATTTTCAAAAAATCTTGTTATATATTAATATTAACTATTAATGCTTTTCAAATTATACAAATTCACCCCTTTAGGTTTCAAAAAAAAAATTAAGAGGTTGTACGATTCACACCTCCATATCTCGAAACATGGGGTTCAAAGTATAAAACTTATCAATTTTGACAAATATATAACCAACCAAAAAAAAATTGGTTTTTCACAATCTAAATCAAAAGATTGTCTTTCAATTGCTATCTTTTATAACTCAATACAAAAATAAGAAAACATTTTTATTTATATATGTTTTTGACGCTGTTTTTCACCATTTATATCAATAAAAATTAATATTGTAATTAGTAAAAATATTCGACCTTCTATATTAAAATGGTGAGCCCCTCTTTTCTGCAATCTTATTTTACCTTATCTGATGCTGATGTAGGTAAGCACTCATTTGAAAGGTTGAGGAAACTTCTAAAATCTAATACAAAAAACTGATGCCTCTTTTTCTTTTCTTTTCTTTTCTTCTCTCTTTTTTTTTTTTTTTTTTCCTTCTTGATTAGGTAAGCATTAGTGATGGTATTAATTAATGAAAAAATAATTAAAAAATCAATAGTAAAAAGGTTCCTTAATGCTGTGTTTGGTTGGGGGATTTGGGGAGGGATTTGGAAAGGGAAATGGAAAAGGTAGGTAAAATGTGAATAAATCATGCTTATATTTCACATAGTTTTACACACCTTTTCCCTTTCCCTTTCCAAATCCCTCCCTAAATCCTCTAACCAAACACAGCATAAATGTTCAATTGGAAGTTACCAATTCATGCACCAACAACAGTTTAGTCTTACAAAGCAGTTCTATGTTTAGGGTTTTTTTTGGGTCTCATGTGATGGATATTGAATTCCCAAGGGCTGATTTGGCAATTGCTTTTTAGCAACTCCTTAAATATTTAATGAACTTTATAAAAAAAAAAAAATAAATAAAAATCAAAAAGCTTTTCACTTTTAAGTCTTATTAGATTAGAAGCCCCTAAAAATAAAAATAAAAAACAAACAAAAAAATAAACAGGTCCGTTAAACACCAAAAAACAAAAACAAAAACAAAAAAGGAGGTGAAAAAAGTTAGGTTTTTTTTAAAAATATTTACTTTTTAAATTCTTCTACACTAAGACTCGAAAAAGAATTTGAAGCAACTTTTAAAAAATATGACTTTTTTAGCCTTGTCAAACACTGATGGGGCATAGGATGACTCAGCCAAACAAGAATAATTAACCATTATGTAACTGGACTTGGAAGCATGGTGAAAGTTATCACACCAGCACATGTCATACTTCGACATGTCTGTGAAGAACTAGAATGCTTCAATTAGAAGTAACAGAATAGGTAAAGTTCTGTGGTAATTTGAGGGACATTAGTGCCAAAATTTAAGTTACTTGATTGTCAGCTTACAATGGATCCTATTATTGTTATTGCATATGAATATTTAGGCATGTGGTTTCACAGTCCAAAGACATCTGATTGTTTGTATTCTCAAATCAATTTTCTACGTGTGTTTTGGAGCAAGATGTTTGGTTACGTTTTCAAATCAATTTTCTACACTCTCTGCAGAGAACTCTGTGCACACAGGCGTGTTTTCTGTCCAAAGGAAGACCACCCGGTAGACCCGGGACGACTGGCTGGTCGTCCGGCCGGCTGTCCGGAACAGTAATTTTTTTTTTGTTTTTTTTTTTGCAATTGATTTATATAATGGAAAAAAATATTTTCTGAAATTTTTAAAATTTTTTATGTGCTTTAAAATAATTTTGAATTGTATGTTTAGTTATGAGTTGTAAATTTTTGTATCACATATCAAATGTCACATCAATAATTCCCCACTCAAATCAAACCTCTTTTCCAAAACTATTTTCAAAACTCTTTACCAAGCAAATTTTCTACACTCAAATCATAATTCCACAACACACAAACTCAAAATACAACTCATACTCTCAAATCACATTTACAAAACTCTACCAAACGCTACCGAAAAGTTTTTGTGTTTTCCTTTTGTGTTTTTTGTTTTTTGTTTTTTCAATTCTTTTGTAAAAACATACAAAACTTGTTTGGAAAACTATACTCTTAGAATTGTAGTGCAGATCGTTTGATCCCTACTTCCAATTCATTTCCAACCGCCTTAAAACTCATGTATTAAGGAGAGGGAAATTAAAACCTCATAACTAGCACAGATGGACCACAACATACACTAGGCAATGTGGAACATTTTCTAACTAGAGCTGAGTAAGGAATCCGTAAAATTTATAATCCAATCCAGTCCAATCCAGTAGGTTTGGATTGATTTTTTGAATTCGTGATTCGGTTTCGGATTGAAAAATTAAAAATCTGTAGTCCACAGACTGGTTCCGGATTGAACCCCATGGTTCCAGATTGAAAACCAATTTGGACCATATACAAATAGTCTATATTTATATTATACACCCTCTCGCGTAATATCTTCTCTTATTCCATATAAAACCTAAACCCAAACTTGCATAGTATCTTCTTTTATTGCTTTTATTGGTTGGTTTTTAGTTTTAATTTGTAATGGTCTAAATACTTATGTGGAACCAGTTTTCTTATAATTGTTTAAATTCTAGAACAGTATGTCACTATTAACATGATACTATATTTATGTTTTTATGAAATTAAAAAGTTATAAATATTTTTTTTTATTTAATTATGTGAATCCGTGGTTCTAAACTGCTAATTCCAACACACCCTCTTAGACCAGCACATACACTAGTGGTTTTATTCCAATCCGAACTAATCCGGACTATGCTCACCCTTAATTCCAACACACCCTATCCCAATCCGAACCATGCTCACCCTTAATTCCAACACACTCTCCTGGACCACAATATACACTAGCTAGACAAACGGCTATCAAATTGAAAAGCCTAACTCACATTTATCCTTAAAACTTAGGTATTAATGAAAGAAAAACTGAAACTTTATAATTAACACAGATGGAACAACTCCAAATAATATGGGATACATTCCAACAGTGTGGTACAAATCTCAAAATAAGAAAATTTTGAGACACAATTGGGTGAGTGCATTGATTGAGACATAGGTATAAAAATTTTGGAGACAGATGATTCCGTGTCATAAAATCATAGAAAGTAAAACATAGCCAACCTAACACCGAAAGTACTAAACCCAATCCCCACAAAACTAAAGCACATGGTTCTTCCTCCCCTTACTCTGTCTCCCCCAAAAGAGGAGACTCACCACCTATCTAGTTGCACTAATATATATATAAATATCACACCACACTTCACATCTCACCTCCTCTCTCTCTCTCTCTCTCTCTCTTAAACATGAAGCTCAAGCATTGTTCCATGACTCTTCTTTTCTTTATTTCTCTCACACTCTTCCCCTACTTAATCCAAAGCCAAACCTGCCAAAGAACCTGTGGCAAACAGCCCATCAAATACCCATTTGGCACAGGCCCTGGATGCGGCGATCCGAGGTTCCAAACTCACATAACTTGCAGTCAGGACCAACTCACCTTCTCAACCCACACTGGTTGCTACCCTGTAACCTCCATTGACTACACAAACCAAGTCCTCTACATCACAGACCCTTCCATGTCAACCTGCTCTTGCACACAGCCCAGCAAAGGCTTCAGCCTCGACTGGGACGCTCCCTTCAGCTTCCACGACGACAACACCTTTGCATTGCTCGACTGCTCGACAACTTCATCGCCCATTTACAAAACCAATCCCGGAAACAACAGCACTGCCACAGTCCCTCTCTGCGACACAAATGGTGCTGCTGTTTGTAGCCTGCTTTTTTCATGCCAGGCTGTCAGCAGGCTCGATACCCCTGTCGCCACATGCTGTGTTTACACTCCAGTGGACCTTGGGCCATCATTCGAAATGGATTTGCAGAAATTGCAGTGCACTTCGTACTCCGGCATATACGGTTTTGGAGGGAAAAACGATGATCCAGGGAGTTGGCAATATGGGGTGGCGCTTAAATACAAGTTCAATTACAACAACGAATTTCCGACGAATTGTGAGAATTGCGAGAGGAGTAATGGAGCTTGTGGGTATTCTGGAACTTACAATTCATTTGTGTGCAACTGTCCTAGTGGGTTGAATACGACAACAGATTGTTTCTTCGCAGCATCTTGGAACCATGGTTTAGTACTACTTCCATGGCAGACCGGTATTGATCTATGTTTTGTTTCCTCTGCTTAATGTGTTTTTTTTTTTACAGATTTTGATGTCTTTGATGTTTTGATGTTTCAATAATTTTTGACTACGATGGTTTTGCAGGGAAATGGGTGATCTACTGTTTGGCATGGTTTCTGGTGTTGCTGTAGAATGAAGAAGAGCAGTGGGTGGAAATGAATCCCAATGCTGGAAGCAAATAAAACTCCTAGTTGACTTTTTCTTCTTGTGATTTCTTCAATTTGAAGGGAATTGAAAGGCACGAGATTTTTTTGTCTATAAATTTTTAGTCTCTGTTGCAATACACTCTCAATCATTTTGGATTATATTTCGAAAAATATATACTTTAAGATTCTTACATGATCGAATGAATGGTTAAGAATGCATTAAGACAAAAAAACAGAGAAAATTGAGGACAAAGAATTCTTGGCTGAATTCAAGCACCTTTTCCTGGCTGTAAATTGTAAATATAGTGGAATTCCAATGTTGAAAGCCCAAGTTACAATAAGGTTGACTTTCATATGTTAAGATTTCTCCAGTTAATGCAACGGGTTGAAAATTTCTGCTCTGCTTGGAAAAAGATGGGTTATGGGTTACATCTCATGACACGAGATCCTCTGTCTCTAAAATTCATGCTTTTATGACCCGAATGTATTTCCTATCATACGTTTGAAAGTGCATTTAATACAAGATTAGAGATTTTCAAATTCTAAATCTAATTTCATAGTATCTTATGCAAACGGCCTTTGTTAGATCGAATGTGATCCATGTCAGTGGTCCAGACTGTGAAAATGAATCTTTATGTTGCTGAACAAGTATATAATTATGACCAAACCACTCAACAAAATGGCACTTTCATTCAATTATTTACATACAAAGGATATAAACTGATAGGTAGGTGGGAACAAGTCGCAGGTTATCAGCATAATATGAGATCCAGCTTGGAAAGTAGAGGCTTTTAAAACTAATAGAATTCATTATTATATTGAACATATAGATATTAAGATATGTATATATCCTCTAGTAATGGAATAGGGTTCCTTCTTTTAAGCACAACCACTAAGAGAGAGAATCACTTTCATGATAAAGGGGTTGGGGTTCTTTCTTTATATTCCAGCTTCACTGGGAACCTCCAGATAGTGTGATCTGGAAAACTTTATACCTACATATTATTCTGCAACTTACTTACAATTTTGTACTCTCGTATCATTCCTATCCACCATTTCATTGTCAAGCTCCTGAGTCCCCTAAAAGGTTGTCTTCCACACACACATGTATCGTAGGAGAAATTGCAAATAAATGGGACAATGGAAAAATAATTGTACTATAGATGAAATCTTTTTTACTGCAACTGTGAGAAGGACTTTCACTAAACACATGAAGGACTTGCACCATACACAAATGAAATTTATAGCAACTCGGACACAGGAAAGACTTGCACCAAACACAGGAAATTTACACCACTATAAAAATGTAAATATTTTTTCACTGTACCACTGATTTGTAATTTTTCCAATATCTTATATATATATATATGAAATGTGTCAATGTGTGTTGTACCATAGACGAAACAAACAAACAAAGAAAAATGAGAGACATAAAAGGAGTTGGCATGGAAAAGTCTACTTAACATGAAGAAAATTACTATGAAAAATGAAGTGTGGTTAAGATTTAATTGGTGTATTGTCGATCTATATGCAGAATGAATCTAAATCACATGGTAATGTTTCTAGGTAAAATTATGAATAAAAATTCTAAGCACGTAGTGTTATTGTAGTTGGCATAGTTCACTCTCTCGTCAAGTGTGATGTCTAAATTCGAATCTCACCATTGTATGACCTACCCTCTTCCCTTATTCCCTTCCTATTGGGATCAGATTCCATCAACATAAAGCGAGCACTTCTTTGAAGTAAAATTTCAGTTACAGAAAATACAGAAATATCAGAGCAAGGTGAAACAATCACAATGGCAATAATTAACCCTGGAGAGGGTGAGTAGGTCAATTAAAAATATCACTTTCAATTTTAACTAATCAAGACAGATATCAAGAGATTAATTGATTAATTGATTTCAAGAAAATTCAATAATTAATTAGACAACTATTCAATTAACCAAACCATCGATCAAGCGATTCAACAATATGCTTTATCAATCTCATCATTAAAAAGAACAATCAAAACTCTTGGAAAACCCTATGTGAAAACACTACCACCGAATACTCACTTTCTATTAAACAATGAATCGAACAGTTAGAAGGCATAATTGAAAGTCTCACAAACTCTAACCCAAGTCATATCTTATACCTACAATGCAATTGAACGCACCACAAACTTAAAAAAGCCTGATCTCAATTACAAGTCAAGCTTTATATATACATTGATCAGTATGAAGCACCAAGTTCCAATAGTCTCCATTCCATTGGCTCTAATGCTCAATCAAACATACTCGCCTCAGAATTTAAATAGGAAGGAACAATATTGAGATCAAATATATAGTCAAGGGCATTAATTATATAAAATAAATGTTAAAATTGACCATGTCTTTATAAAACTAATGTGATTATTGATATATATATAGATATATTTTTTACAAAACTTTATTAGTCACTCACTCCACCACAGTTCAACAATCTTCAAATGCCATCATGGTGTACAACTGATTGAATAGAAACTGCAAAGGTTTATTACTATCTTCACCCAAAAAAACCAACTTACTAGCAAAACTTGTCTATACTGTACTAGAGAGGATGAAGCTTGACTTGAATCCCGTGTTGCGGACGAACTGTTAAAAGTTGGACTGGCGAGTGACTATAGGTTGGGGATAGAGAAAAGGCGTAGCGTTGCAGAATCATTGACAAGGCAATTTTTGTTTCATTGATTGCAAAGTTCATGCCAACACAACTTCGTTGTCCGAAACCAAAAGGAAGATACACTCCTGGGTTGTTGTTGGTAGCTTTAGCAATTCCTTCTGAAAATCGTTCTGGTTTGAAAAGATACACATCATCTCCCCATATTTGAGGATCAAGATGTAGTGCCAATGTCAAAATAGTCACATTTATATTGGCCGGAAGAATGAATTGTCCCAGTTTGACTTTGCGTTGAACTTTTCTTGTCATGGTGATGATAGGAGGATATAGTCTTAAAGACTCATTAATGATCATGTTCATCTACACAAAAAGGAATCGAAAAGTCCAGTTAATATTGAATGGTATGTGTTCTTCAGTGTATTTGCACAAAATAAGATATAGTTTGATTTTGTGATCATTAGTGTTAATATACCTTTTTCATTCTTGGAATGCCTTCTGCATTTGGATGTTGCTGGCCAAACAACTCAAGGACCTCCTTTCTTGCTTCCTCTTGCCAATCTGTATGGATTGCTAGAAGAAGAACAGACCATGAAAGCAAGGTGGTTGTAGTTTCATGTCCAGCAATGTAAATGGCCTTGCACTCATCAATCACAGTTTCCACTGTAATCCTCTTATTCTCATCTTCATCATGACTTGCCTTCACAAGTAGTCCAAGAAGATCAGTCCCATAGTTGCCAACTTCTGCCATTGCGTTTTCTCTTTTCTTTATAATCTCTAAAATAGAATCTCGTATCCCTTCTTCAAGTTTTTCCGATTCTATATCGTCGATACTTTTCCAAAATTGACTGCACAAATGTATAAATGATCAATCAAAATTATACTTCTTGTTGGGAAAATATTAGAATCTTTGAATATTTTGAATAGATCAAGTAATTATAATTTGCAGCATCAGTATCATTTGTTACTTTAATATTGAACTACCACAACAAATAAAAGTTTTCTTTTCTAGAAGGCAGATGTTATGTTTCTAAACCATCAAGCATTGGCCTAACTATTGACATGAATTGGAAAATTGATACTCCTTGCAGGGAAAGTTTTCTTTTCTTCTCTGCTTCCATGAAATGGAAAATTTAATGAAATGGTAAAAAAAAAAAAAAATGAAGGATACTGCCTAACTATCTGCATTTGATTGTTGTCCTTACTTGACTGAAAGAAAGCCTAAAGCTAGTGAGTGAAATAGAAAAAAAAAACCTAACAAGGTTATGATTTTGGAATTCTCTTCTTCATTTATTTCTTTTTTCTTTTTTTCTGCCAAAAATTACTTTGTTAAGGATCTATATTCTATTATAAGCTTATTCTATCTTAACGAATTATATTACATTGGCTAGAGAAAAAAATAAAATAGAAGAATCTTCATACAAAAATATTTCATAATGATTAATTTGTAAGTAACGTTGTGGAAAATATATTGGGCAGTGTTTATTGTGGTACCTTACATTACACTAATCATATCATATGAATTATCCCACCTTTATTTAGGAAGCAATGACACTAATATCTTGTGGGCCCCATCAAATGAAGTGGTTAGTCAATGTACAATACCACGTCCAATTGAATCGAGATATAATCAAGTTAGGATTATTGTTAATAAGACTGAAACTTAACAAAATGAATTTACCTGAGGATAGGAAGCTTGATTTTGAAAACATTTCTGACAGTTATAATACCTAGCTGCGTTAACATCTCAAATATGTCTTTTCCTTCTAAATAACTACTCCCAAAAGCTGTCCTTGAAATAACTTCTGATGTTAATAATCTGAACTCTTCATACACCTCAATTTCTTCACCTTCACACTGCTTCCACCTTTCTAACATCATCTCCACACTAGAGATCATTGCTGGAACCATGTTCTATACAATAGATATACACCATTTAGTGTGTATTATTATGTCAATAATCTAACAAAATTAAAAATTATTTGGTAATAATGATGCATTATGCAAGCTTTATTGGAGAATTATCATAAGAATTAGATATGAGAAAAATTAATAAGTGAATGTGACACCAATACCCTTCATACAAATGGAGCACGATACATATTATACACCTACTTGCACTCTATTGATTTGTAATTAATTTAACAATTTTTAAATTATTAGACATTTTATCATCAATATTTTAATGGTATGGTATAATAATAATAATGAGAAGAAGAAGAAGAAGAAGAAGAAGAAGAAGAAGTTGTTTAGTATAAGCGTACTTTCAAACTCTCTGCATGAAGAGCATGGTTGGCTAGTTTTCGTAACTTTGACCATTTTTCACCTTCAGATGTCACAATGCTGTTGTTACCCAATAGCTTCTTTAAGTAGCCTTCTATTTCCATTTGAATGTAAGCTTTTTCTTTGTTTTTGAGTATTTCTTTGGCAAGCTCCGAGTCTGTAATGACTAACTGAGCTTTTGGACCATTCCACATAAGAAAATTCTTTCCTGTTTCACCCTCAAAAATTAAATAAATGAATAAACAAAAGCAGCCAATAATTAAATAAATGCATAAACAAAAGCAGCCAATAATACATTTATATATATCATTCAAAACAATTCTAAGAAGTGAATAAAGCCGTCATGAATTTTTAAATTCATAAATAACTCTTCTAAAACTCAATCGTCATTTTAATTTTTATATTTTAAGCAACACAAGCTTTATCCTTATATGAGGCGGAT